CTCGCCGTCCCGGTGACGAAGGTGGCCGTCTGAGCCCCTTCCCCCCTTCCCGGCGGTGCTTCCCGCTGCCCGAGGCGCCCCGGAGGGGGTTTCCCTGCCCCGCCGGTGCCACCGCCGCGACAAAAACGGCGCTTTGGCCACCGTGCTCCCTGCGCCCGTTTCTAATGATTCTGTTTTGATCCTCTTGGCCGCTGCTGCAGCATCCCTGGCTAATGAAAAGCCGTGCGGGCTCCCGCATGGATGAGAGCCGCTGTCTGCGGGGCTGCCAACAGCGCGTTTTTCCATGGTGAATTTTGCTGCTATTTCTCAGATGTGGGGGATTCCCATTAAGAGTTTTTCTTCCCTTGCAATTTTTTGATGGCCTCACTGACTAATAGTGTCTGAGATCCCTTCTGCAGCCGCATTCCCATGGGATGGTCATCCCTTTGAAAGGAAGTGGTGAGAAAATCCAGAGCGGAGAGGGGAAGGCCGGGGCAGAAGGGCTGACTTTGTGCGAGCAGATGTTCCCAGTCTTCCGTACCGCTCCTGGACTTTCTTTCCTTGTTCACTATGAGGCCTGGGACAGTCCAACGGTGGTTTTGGGGCAGGTTTAGAAAAGCTGCACAACTCTTTCTTTTATAGGTTAAGGGTTGTGAAAGGGCCATGACCTTCTGGAAGCATTTTCCCCCTTTTAATGTAAATTGGCAGGGGAAATTTAATTAGCAAATGACTCTCCTGCCTACTTCCATGCAAAAAAAAAAAAAAAGAAAAGAAAAAAAAAAAGGCGAGGATTGCTGTTTGAAAGCAAGTGCCCTCTGCGACTATCAGAGGAATGAGGTGCGGAGTGAACGAAGCCAGCTCCAGGCAGAGTTTTGCTGGATCTGTGTAGAAATTGAACTTGAAAACTCCTCCTCTTCCTCCTCCTCACCAAGGTGGCTGCAGCTGGAGAGCCGCCAGACTGGCCCCTCGCTCGCCTCCTTCCATCGCTGACATCCAGCCGCCGCCACAGGCGGACTCGGGGCTATTTTTGGAGAGCATTTGCCAGCAGAGACCTCTTTTTGGCGGCACGTGCGTGTAGATGCTTTTCTTTCTGCAGCCCTCTGTACGCGGCACTACCTCGCTCGGCTGGAGGGGGCGGAAAGGCCATGGGAAAAATGACTTCTCAGTGGAAAGTCGCGCCGAGATCTCCCGTCTCCTGCCCCAGAACACGCAGCCGAGCAGGGGCCCCGCTGCGGCTGCCCCCTGGCTTGGTTCATACTCAGAAAAATGACTTCCTCCAACGCAGCCACTCTGGCTGCACCCACAGGTGGGTCAGCAGCCCGATGTTGTTAGATGTTGTACAAGTGCCAGCTCTGCCCTAAACCACTGCCAACCCCTGGAGAAAGTGACAGGCAGCCTGTGGATGCAGGGACAGAGGGAACGTGTGTTAAGATTAACAAAAAAAAAAAGTTTTCTTTTCTGTAGCTCCTCACAGCTGCCAGTGTCATTTTGCACTCTTTTCCAAAAGGGATAGAATAATATGCTGGAAGATAACATAAAACAAAGGATTTGAAACCATGATGAGTATCATTGGCACTGCTTTTATGCTACTGAAATATTTACCTTTTTTTTTTTTGGAAAATTAATACATTCTAAGTTATTCTTTGCAGTTTTCTACATAGCCAACATGGGTGAATAAAAATAACATAAAGAAGCAAGCTCAGCTTTTGGATGTGCATTTTGTTCCCTTTTTCCCTTTTGGTGTTGTGGAGGCTGTCATGAGTCTGATGCATCTGCAACCACTGACTAGTATTGAGCCGTGGGACTTGGTGCTCCCGGGACACGGCCCAGAGTCAGAGCCAGGGACAGGGGGAGCACGGGACAGGGGGATGCACCAGAGCATCAAATCTAGCCCTGTGGAAACAGGAGCAAAACCTTATGAACGCTGCTACAGTCACTTCTGTCGAGCTGGAGGCCTGTTCGTCCTTTTGCATGCCCTGACATAATGCCTTGCTGTGAGTGAATTACTTTATGCTCATCAGCTTGGCAGGAGATTGCGGGTCCCTGCATCTTCTGGGTGGGACTGTGTTAGTCTTCACACAAGAATGCCCGATGGAGCTTTTTCCTCCTGTTTGTTCCTCCAGCCTGGTTTGATTCTTCATTGCATGGGTGCCACCAGACAGGGGGGCATCTCAAGACGAGGTCTGAAGAGCTCTTTGGCAACACAGAAGTACCAGTACAAGGTGATTTTGCACCTGATGCCTAAAGAATGGATTTTGCCAAAGCTACCTCTCCACCGGGTGTCCTGACCGCTGCACTTGCAGTGCTGTTGGGCTACAGGAACTTTATGTACTTGTTTTTATTCCAACTTGCAGCAGGCAGCTGCTCCCAAAAAGCGGCCTTGCATGCCTGAATGCTGAAAAGGGGCAGTAGGATTTTAATCAGTTTTTAAAGTACATGAAAGATTCTCGTGCTGCTTCCTCAAGCAAATGCATTAAACTGCAATTTCCTGATTGCCACACTAATCACAAGAGCTGTCTAGTGCTGTTGCTGCAGTGCTGTTGATTTACTGGAGTTTGTCCCTCAACTTCGTCCTTCTGTGACAGCTGCTGCAGGTACCAATTAATTGTTTCCTCCCATTTAATCTCAAGGACGATGCAAGGTTAGCAGCAAACATAACAGGAAAGGAAGTTTACAACATTCAGCATTTGCCCAGGCTGTTGAAACCAAAAGTGAAGCAAAGCAGTGTACAAATACATTTCTTCTGCTCTCAGCATAGCCGTCTAGATGTATGCATCTAGTGTAGATACCTCTTTTCTGACCCGTGTGCTCTTTGCAATACTTTCTTCACTGCTCAAAAAAATTATGGACCTTGCTGAGGCAATGGGTGCCAGAGAACACTTTACATTGTCATTTGGATAGCATTTTGCAATTAAAATTGCCGTGTTTCGGCTTCCCGTCTAGAGCTGCTACAGAGATGAGAACTGGACAGCTGTCAGATCCAAACAATTTGCTGGACTCCAGTGTTAAACAGCGAGGACTTATTTTCCTTCTGCTTTCTAATAATAATTTGGCTGTTACTAATTTGAACAGTTTAAAAAAAGTGACCAAATGAGGTCATGGAAACATTAGCTAAAGTTAATTTTTGTCTGCCTAGACGCGAGCTCCCAGGTTTTGGACACACCGTGGGGCCTGTTCCCCTACCTCGTCACACATTTCAACCAGAGGCACCGCATGGCGTTAGGTGCTTCAAACGATGCAGTGGGCGCAATGTCTCTCTGACTTATTCATAATATCCAAGAAAACAGCGCCGGAGGTAGTTTTTGGCACATAAAATTAAGGGCAATTAAATTTCCTATGCATGTTCCATAGATGCAGAAGTAGAGGTAATACAGGTATCCTGACCAGAACCGAATGGAGTTTGTTTTATTACTTCTAAGCAGATTTCCAGCTGACTACTGTGGTCTCCGCTTTTCTTCTTATTTATAGACCGAAGCTTATTTTTGACATGTCTTAAATTGATGTTGCATCCCAGCGAAGATCTGCATTTCTCTAAGTGAACCATAGACTGTTTATATACCAGTTTGTTGAATTTCTGGAGATCCTTAGGGATGAGATATATCATTTACATTTAAACCGCTTTTATTGCCTTGCCTTAAGGGTTAACATGCGTTAGTTTATTTGAAATCTGCTGCTACTTGGAAGACAAGTTTTCTCTGGTGTCATGCCTATCTTGCATGGAAGTTTTGTTAAAGCATGTTATTCACAATGTTGTGGGTGTTTCACATAGAAGAGAAGAGGCCGAGGGTGGAGGAAGAGAAGCAGAGGCAAGTCCGTTGAGCTTGTTGTACAACTTTCCCTTTAGCAATGTGAACAGTGCTTTTAGCCGTCAGTACAGCCCCTTCTGTGGTTGCAAGCAGAGTGGAAGCACCTGACAGAGAAAAAATGAACTGGGAGCACCCTAGCAATTAAAATTACGCAGGGACTTTCCCCCCGCTGGCAGCTGGGCCATGTGGCAATATTGTGTTCTCTGCTTTTTCCCATCAAGTAGGAATCTTGCAAAGATGGGGAGAATCCCGATGGGACCACATGGAAGACCAGCCTTGTACGAGCACTGCACAGGGGAGTATAGGCCAGCAAACGTGGACGTGTGGAGAAAGGATGTAATCTCCTTTAGGTCTGGATTATGGATCGAAGCTGGTGGGGGCAATGGCTGCTTTTCCTTCTGGATAAACATAAAAAGCCCTAATGCTTCTGATACGTTGCTCGCTGCAGCGGTTGGAACCGTCCCCAGAAGACAGGCACATGGCAAGCCTTAATTAGAAGCTGAACTGTGTGGGCCCAGGGATTTCCCTGGGGACGGATGTGGCAAGCGCAGGGGCTTCATGTACTGCCTGCTGCAACTGTGTGCCTGTGAGATAGCAGAGGAGCTGAGAAGGAAGGAAACAGGAAATACTAGACAGAATAGTAGCAGCATAACCCTGAGGGGAAAAAAACAGAGAAAATTAACTCGGAGCTGGGTGCTTCCTGAGCAAGCCTTGGGACTGTGAGCAGAGGGGCCGTCTCGAGGTGGGTCCCTCCCGCACGCGCACAGGCTCTTTGCAGCTTCTGGCAGCGCCAGGCTTTGCCCTCTGCTGCTTCTCCCGCTCTTGGAGCCCTTCTGCCGTGTGGGTCCGGGCGGGCGACACGGATCTGTCACCTACACATGGCCGGTGGCCGGCAGCATGCGCCTGCAGCAGCTGCTGCTGCGCTAGCACTGAGCGGGGCTTCGCTGCCAGCGTCCCTGTGCAAGGGTGCGCTGTGCCCGTGCTGGGGAAGCCATCACGGGTTTCAGCCGCAGTTTCTGGGATAGCTCTGGGCTGTCTTAATCTTGGCCTGGCAGGGGGAGTGTGCGCAGCCTGGCGCGGGAAGGGTGCCTTTCCAGTGCAGCGTCCCCTTGCAGCGCCTCTCAGGGGTGCCCGGGGATGTTGATGAGCACACACAGTGCTGCGCCCAGTTACTCCCTTTGAGGAGAAGAGCTCCCAAGGATTGCGAAGAGGAAGGCCACATTATTGCTACTTGTGTTAGTGAGCTGTGTCCGACAGCCTGGATGGGGCTGGGGAGAGCTTGGCACGGACTAGCGGCAGAGTCTGGTGAGCTGCATGCTCTGAGGAGTGACACACACTAGGTTTCCAGGCCACATTTTGCAAAAAGCCACGTTTTCCCACACAGTCCTCACTCCTCTGTATCCTGCTTTGTTTTTATGCAGCCAACCCTTTCCTCTGCGCATAGGCTCCAGAAGGGAGGGTGATGGCCGCCAGCCAGCTCGGGGCCTTCGAGGCCTGCAGGAAACAGCACGGCGCAGTGCCGCCCTGTGGTGTGCGGAGGAGCCTTGCTGAGAAGGCCCTGTCTGTCAGCTGTGTTCTCTGAAAATTTGTCTGCTTTTGAAATCCAGCCCCCCTCGGCTGGCAGGTTGGGCCACCAAACTGCCCCTGGCCGCTGTGTGGGAAGCGGCCGCATCCTGCCTGATGTGGGAGCTTTGGAGCTGCCCCCTCCCCGTGGAGCCGCGTTGGGAAATAGGGTAAAGGGGAACCACGGTCAGCAGTGCCAGTATTTCTGAGGTGGCCAGGGCTTGTGATTCATTCCCAAAGCTGAGTCCGAGAAGAGGACAGAACAGCTGGAGAAGACATCCAGGTTGTTCAGCCTGTGTGGAGTTTCTCTGTTTGCAATAGGATGATTTCCCATATCATGTGCACCCTTCTGAGTCCCGATTACTTAAGATTTAATGAGTGTTGTTTTCTGGCTGTGCTGTTTCCCATGGGAAAATCTCTCTCAGGGATAAGCTTCTGCCTTTCCTGGCCGGATGGTCCGTGTGTATACATTAAATTCAGTTCTTCTAGGAAGCGACCACACTCCCGCACCACAAAACACCCCCGCCTCATGTGGCACCTGCCTTCTCCAGGAGTCTGGCAGCCCTGGACAAACGGGAAGAGTAATTCCTGAATTCTTCTCAGATCCAGTTTCTG